GCTGGTATTCAGCGGGATATAGTAATTTCCTCAGCATATGGATAAATGCAACGGGGAAGTTAACTGAAAGAAACCGAATCTGTGGATATTGCATCGACCGACCAAGAAGCACGTCTCTGTGGAGAGGACGGCTCAGAAAGAGAGATATTCTCTACAAACACCGGGTGAGATCCTCCTTTGTCAATATAATGGATCAATGCATGAAATCTGACTCTGTTTATTTTGTTTAAGGAGTATATTGGGCGTTAACAATTCTGGTTTGCCTTTTATAATATTATTTCATTCAAGAACCCCTTGTGCGTTTAATTAACACAGCTATTTTTGATAGTTGCTACAGCAGTGAGCAGGAGAGGTGGGGAGAGCCGGGGCTATCGTTATTTTTTCAGGAAATATTCGTATAGAGGTGATTACACGAACTCGGTTGACCCCCCCAGAGCGTTTCGTTTGCAAATCTATCCACCTTGGGACCCGTTATCGTTTGTGGGGTCAGTTTCTATCGGCCTCGTGTAAATAATAGGGCTATACGCACGCGAAACTATGCAGATACAAGCAGTTTTCTCCTCGTGTAAATGGCGCCTCAGACTCACTACAGTATTTGTATGAACTTGGCAAATATGTTCTTATAAATGATCAAATTCTTCATTCAATTTCTTCACATATCCAGTATTAAAAGCAAAACAATTATTTTTCAGTATGTACTGTAAGTGTGGTTCATTTTCTTTTTCTAAACCTGTTTATTAAATGTTATTTGATAAACGATTGGGCTGATTTGAGCTAAAGATGCTTGTTAGGAAGGTAATTAAATAGGTGCAACAATAACATTGAAGGCTACTCCTTAATTTAGGGTGTTAATGGATTCTATACCAATATATGTGCATGAGTCATCAGATCCGCTTGGCTTTATATGACCCTGATGATTGCACCAAGCGAAATTCATTCCTTCTTGACCTAGAGGTGACACGTTTGCCCTTGTGACAGCTAGCTTCATGAAAGGAGCACATGGCTCTGAAAACCCACCACCTCTATTCATTCATCCTGCCATACAGTAGCAAAGACATCTTCCTTCCTAGCATTCCACATGAACATAAAGTCTTTGTAAAAAAAAAAAGTATTGCAATTTCCTTTCAAAAAATCACATACTTTTTTTATTTTTTCTATTTAGTTTCAAAATAAGCCAGGATATTTAAAAGTAGCCTTGTTGTCTACATTCCACTGATAAGTACAGAGCGATTAGCTTGGGTTGTGGTGGCAGGCGTACATAGTGATAGTTGCAGTGTTTTGATGGTTGTTAAGGAAACATGCTGCGTTTTTTGTATTCAAAGTTCTCTCTTTTCTTTAGCAGAGGCCATATTTTTTGTTAGCAGAGGTAAATGACTCAAGTGCATTCATACTTTCAATTAATTAATACATTTTTCAAATCTGATGTCTGTGGTTGGATCAAAATGTCCTTGGGCAAGATACTTGTCCTCTAAATTGTTCCCATGGCCAACGGTGTGTGAATATCAGTCTCCCTGAGCAGGTGGCTCCTCTGTCTCTGTATGAATGTGTGTGAATGTGTCAAATTGTTTGTGTTAAAGCACTTTGACGTGTATCAAAGACTGTACTCTTATTATTTACATGATTTGTGTACCCAGTTTGCTTAATCATATTCTAAAGTCATTTTTTACCTTGTTTTCAACCAGTGAATCATTTATTGTTGACCCCGTAACTGACGTCGGTGGAATTTGCTCGAGGCAAAGCATGCTGGGAAAGCTCAAGTTAAAGTTAAAGCCTTTTATTGTCATTGTACACAGAGTATAACGAGATTCAGAGTGCAACTCTGTCCCGGTGTGCAAAAAATACAAACACATACAGAACACTAAAAACCACGGCAATAGGACAGACAACATAAACAATCATACGGGGGAATAAATAGTTAAAAATATTGATATAAAAATAGTATATAAAGTGCATTAAAAGTGTGTGTATGTGTGAGAATGGTTATGGTTATTGCATTATGTGTGGTGGTTAAGCAGCCTGACAGCCCAGGGGTAGAAACAGCTTACGGCAGTGTCAGCATCATGAAACATCACAATAGGCACATGACTTACACAACAGACATTATTCAGATATTACCGAAGGACACAATTCAGAGGCAGTATTATTCACCGAGCATGTGTTTGTTATTTGTTGATTTTAATTCATCCAGCTCGAGCTCCATTCATTAGTGATGCATTCCTCTGTGCCTTTGCTTTGGACTTCCAGCTTCTGCGCGTCACAGGTTTCGCTCACAGCCCTCTTTCTATTGCTCACCTCCGGCTCTGTTCAATCGTATTAAGAAAACCTTCAATAGACCGTTTCCTGCCTGCACTCTTTTTGTCCTCTGTATCTAGACACAATTACATTTCCTCCCTATTGTTTCTCTTAGAAGCTCTGTGCTGATTCAGTATCGGATATTATGTCTGTGTCATCTCATAAAAACAGGTTGTTTCGGGAAGTAGAGGAGATGATGGCACTCAAGCTGTTCAAATGACATATATACATTTGTGCAAATGGTGTAATCCCATAAAGATAAGCACTTTAGCTAGAAGAAAGCAGCCCCCCTGCCTAAAGAATAAGCATTTATTATGCTCTTGATATGAATAAACCGAATGCAGCTCACATGTTTGCGTGAGAGACTCTGTGTGGAGTTGTGAATGAGGTGCGGTGCCCTTATGGTGGGTGGCGTGGCCGCGTCGTGTGAGACAACACAGGTGTTAAGCCTCGCAGCCAAGTTGGATGTTCCTGGATCAGTCGGTGGACCTGCTCCCGCTCAGGATCTGCCGTATTTAACATCCAAAACACAGATTTCCACAGACCAAACGTGAGCCTGCACCGCATGCTTTGGCGATAAGTCAACCAGCTCCTTCTCAGAAGACATGCAATCACTCGAACATATTTACACACCTCCTCCTACCTAGCCCTTGTGATGTATCTCCCATTCCAGTGCACCCCTCGTACAAATACATCGGATGTGCATCTAAGCAGCGGATTTAAACGGATGGTTACTTCCATGTCTTCATTCTAAATTGACAGCATATTTGCATGTTGTGTTTGCACTATTCTCTTGTATTGTAGGGTTATTTGAAAGTATAAATGCTCATAGACAAACATCAGTTGTAGTTTGTTTTGTAGGATCTCCTCTGCGGGTGTCTGGAAAGATAAGACCCTCATCTCACTGAGTCTTCACGCTCTGCTCCGTCAAATAGCCCTGCTACCTCACAGCCAGGCCTGACGCTTTACATTCCCCAGGACAGCAACTCAAAACAAACATTTGGCTTGCTAAATGTGATATTGCCTGTAAGGGAAGGGAAAGGAACTAACGGAGAAGAAATAACAGAGTAAAGCCTGATAAAGTTCCCTTATCTCTCTCTGCTGACGTTGATGTATTCCACAACTTATATAATGTGCCAAATAAAATGAAGCAAAGTATAAATGCCTTGTGAAAGGTTATACATTGTCTTTACAGTGAGAGGAAAAAGAGTTAGGAGTAATATAGCTTTCCTTACAAATGCATACCATAAATTACAGCAGTAACGGTCAGTATGTCAGAGGGAGATTTTGTTTTCAACACTCATATAGTGTATTTCTCGCATATAAGTGTATGCATGTGGTTTCAATGTAAAGTAGAGCTGTATGATATGTGAGCAGACATTGTGATATAATCTTGAAGTAAGAGCTTTAGGAGTTTCCTGTGTTTGATGGTAACCTGTGGTGGCAGGAGTCATGCAAATCCTTTCAAGTCTCGCCTTATTAGTCAAGTCAAAGTTGGAGTGCTTGGTAATTCCCACTTTCATTGAGTGGGCGATTTAAATGGTTTGTTTTAACGTCCACAGTATTTTCCTAATTATTCCTGCATTTTTTTTTAACATTATAAGTCTTTGTAAGCTTGCTGACATTTCCATTTAGCTCCAAGCTTTACTGTGCTTGGTTATATACTGTTAGTTGTGTGGCTTTAGGGCTGTTTTTAAATCATTTTAAGGTGCATATGGTATAGTATAAGCTGTTCCTCTTCTGGTGCGATACATAAATCGTAAAGCTTGTGTTATGCATGGTCTCTTCGAAATATGTAACCATATATGCCGATGTAAAGAGGAGGAAGATGCTTAGTGGCTCCTGTTGGTTAATCTTCTTATCCCAGCACCCGGTTCAAAGCATCTGACTGGGAGGAAGTGGGAGCTTAAAGTTGTATTCAGTAAAAGTCGCCATAGGCTAACAATATGAAATGACTCTTTAAAAAAGACTAATAGTTGAGTAAAAAACAACATTTGTATTCATTTATAGCAGTCATTCATGTCCTTGGTTTTGAGTCTTTCAGAGGGAGCTATGCTGAGTTCAGGTTTGCTTTTCTAGCTGACCTTCCTGTTAACAGAAGGCAGCTACATTCCTGAGCCGTGCCAGTGGGAAGTGCAGGTGCCAGTCCATCTACTTTGCCAACAGCGCTTTCCACTGCCTGCTTTGATACCATCCTCTGTCTACTTTCACTGTCTCACTTTCACTCTGTGTACTTTTTGCTTTCAAATTCTTATGCTCTTTTTCCTGCCCCCACTCTCTTTCTGTCACAGCCTCTCTGTTTCTCTCCTTTTATGTTTTTGCTCTGTCATTTTGCATTTATTTCCCAGCAGGTCTTTGCTTCCCTACGCACTTCTTTGGAAAAGGAGGGAACATTAGCTTTTGATTAGACAGCAGTGTTTTCTGCTCAAATAAAGGAGCTCTTGTCCTCTCGCTGCCATGCGTTTACCTTGATAATTGGTTTCAGTGCACACCCAGCTGAGAAAGCTTCCCACAAAAAAACAAGATGTTTCATCTTACGGGCCATTTTTTTTTTGCAGATGTAAATGTTTTCTTGCATGATTAGCATTTTTCTCGGTTCAGTCTAAAGGAACTGTAGGTGTTTCAGATTTTATGTGAAACTTTACAACCTAACGCACAACAATGATTAGCATTTTTATAAATGTCTGCTTGTGTTTTGTGTTTGTTAGGTTGTGCAAACCCAGAGGAGCTGACCACGGAGCGAGCCCATTCTGCTGTGGAGAAGATGTTCGACACGCTGAGAGGTTTGAGTCACGCCAGAGATCACCTGAAGCAACTGCGCTCCGTCTACACCGCCAGCGACGGAGTTCACCAGGTCAAAAACACACATACACACATAGACTGTTAACATCAAAACACACACTTTATGTTGCAGGGTGGGTTCCTTTTAGTGGTCCAATCAAATCCATTACAGTCAAGACAGTTCCAACAACATATCTATATCCACCAGTATACTTAAGAACGGCAGAATATTACTATTGCCCCTTACACACAGCTTGTTTCCCATATGTTTTATTCACCATTTTATCGCGCTCTTGCCTGACTAGTAACAGAGGCACATATTTAGCAGAGCTTCTTTTACCTCCCAGGTTGAGTCACTGGCATACAGCACAGAGAAAGAATATTTTTCTTAGAGCTTATGTAACTCAGAAGGTCTTTGTGTGCATCTTAAATCTTTGTCCACACACAAGGCTCTTACCTTTTATTCAATACTGCTTGAAATTATTTTTTTAGCAAAGCAAATGGACAAAAACAAACTATAGAGCTGGGCTTGATCACAAGCTTTTCAACACCATGCACTTCTATGTCCTTTTGTGTGTGACTTGAACCTCCTTAAAGGTCTTTGATTGATTGGTTTTATTTTTCCAATTACATAACCCTTCATCCAATCATAAAAACATGAGGTACTTGGCCTTATTGTCGTTGGAGGAGTTGCAGGTGAAATATTTATTTACTTAAAGGTCACCTATTATGCAAAATCCGCTTTTTAATGTCTTTTATACATAAATATGTATCCCCCTCTGTGTAAAGAGATTCTGAAAGTTTCAGGAAAAAAGACTCGCTCACTTTTTGTCCTGATCCATTTATATAAAAACCTGTCTGGAAATGAGCTGATCAGATTTTGGCCACTTTATGATGTTAAAATGTTTTTTTGGCTTGTTTAACCATTAGCCAATCACCAACCAAGGTAGCTGCCGCCCACCTTATCACCTGAATCTCCTCCTAGAGCACCATTGTGGTTTTTCAAAATGATGACCTTCTCGGAGGGGCGTGGGGAGTGGCAGATCATTTGCATTTAAAGCTACAGACAGAGAATCAGCCCTTTTGAAACAGGGCTGAAACAGAGGGGTTTATGGGATGCTACAATGCATGATCTGTTTGGTATTTTGAGCCAAACACTTCAGAGACATGTTTTGTATATATCTAAGATCTATAATATATTGTTGAAAAATAGTATATTAGGGGACCTTTAATTAAGCCGTTTTTTATCTATGTTAATGCCATCTTAATATATTTAAGTAGTTAGTAAACCTTTTACAATTTTTGGGAACATTTGTATTTACTTTTTTGGCAGAGAATCAAAACATGCCATCTGAATCGAAACTTTATATAATTTTAAGAAGTGTTGTTGCTGGATGTCATTACTACTGAACATCATCTCATCCATATCATAATAATAAGAGCGTCCATATGCGTGTGTCTATGTATGAGTGTGAGCCTCATTGTGTTTCTGTTGGGACCGTACTGTCTGTCCTTGTTCCTGCTGCGTTAAGAAAATGATTTAATATAAAGAAAGGGCAGCGTGATCTTTCAGCTCCAAGCTGTTCCTGAGAAACGTCTTTCAATCTCTCAGCCTCTCTCAGCATGCAGTCTCAGCACCTGGAGAGCCAATAGCTGTCGGTCAGGATGTCTTCCTCTCATTAAAGAGTGCAGAGCTTCTAGGTACAGACTAATAGGAGAAGTTATAACATGGGTTTTCTTTTTCTTACTGCAAGTTACGTACGATTGTAATGTCTTGCAATGCCCAAATATGATTCTGTCAACAAAGCATGATCATTTTACATCCTAGCATGTTCCTATGAATACCAATGAGCAATGAGTGCTGTTAGCTTCATTAATTAAGCGTTCTCTGTTTTTACAATGAATAATTAAATTGACAATAGCAATTTAATTAACTAATAAAGATGAGAGCATAACAGTTTTTTCCGATGGCTTCAATCACGCTCTGTTTATGCCACGCATAATCAATCAGAGCAGCAGACAGCAGCACCCATTTGCTTTCACTCACACATGTAAACACGTTTTGGAGCATAACATTTGCATGTTTCCAGAGCACATGTCTCTCTGAGTAACCCAACAGTGTCGAATTTCTTGGAAGAAAATATCAATGAGTGACGTAGGCTGTAGCAGCTGGTGTCTGATGCTGTCTGTAATGAGACAAGCATTCACACTAAGGGTAGCCAAATATTAAATCATGGTATATATCATTGTATATCAGAGTCACGGTTTTATTACAAGACACTTACTGTAAATTAGATTGTTAAAATACTTTGCATATGTCTGGCAATCATGAACTCAGATTACTTCCTTATCTGGATTTATTTTATAAATCTATTGATTTGTAAGATAGGGAATAAGACAATCAAAGACAACGTGCATACACACGTGAGCAGCAGGTGTGGTGAGGCTGAGGTATTGGCCAATGGTCTTTATTATTTACGATTTGATTTGATTTATTTCGAATGTGTAAAACAATTATACAAAAATGTAACATGAGAATTGTTTTACAGTACAAAATTAAGCAGTGTCAAATAAAAATATTACTGATTCTAAATTATATATAAACAAATAATCTACTTAATTACACATCCATTTTTCTTATAGAAATACATTTGTTATTGAAAAACAAACAAAAAAATAAATAAAAAATACATAAACAAACAAATAAACAAACAAATACATAAAAGCGGTAAATGATATTCTATAAAATAGCAAACCAAATAAATAAACTGCAAACACCCAGTTATGATTAAACAACGTCATCTCAATCAATCAACATTGTCTCTCATAGAAAATAATTTCTTACAAATAAAATACATCCAGATAGCTACGACCATTTGACCAATGACCACATCAGTGAATACTGTAAAGAAAAGGGTCTGATTACCCAAATTGTAAAATAACATATCCTACGTTTCCCCCTAGTTAAGGTTATGAGTTTCAGTGCAGTTCTTTTTAATGATTTATGCAAAAAGGTTTGTCTGGGCTAGCGACTTCACAAAGTCACTGTGCCCTGCCAAGCAATACTTCAGCCATTAATGGGACTACAAATCGACATGTTTACACCTCTTTGTTTGTATTGAATAAACAAATGACATCCTTCCTGTGAGCATTAGGAGAAAACATGCTGTACTCGTTCTGAAATGAGTTGCATAGTGAAACTTCTTGATATGTATGACCACATTATTTCAAAGACACTTCAGCCTGTTCTTTATTTTTGCTCTCTGTGTGTTTTTGATGTGGTTCAGTCTACTCTGGCAAGAAAACTGATACCCACATATCAGAGTATGTGTGCTCACATGTTTGTGTGTAGACATGAATATTTCAGCACTGGCATTATTATACGACTGGTTCCAATATTGCTTTCATCACGTGTGTGTGTGTGGTGGTAATTAAATGGGATTTTGTTTAAGCTTTCTGGATTAGAGTGTTGTTGTGTGTGACCACGGTTGTTTGCTGTTGGTTTTGTCTGTGCGTGCGTGAGCGTGTTATTCAACCGGAGGTGAATCATTAATGTGTTTACTCCCAGCTTAGCTTGTGCAGGCTGACCCAGGTATTCATGTCATGTTGGCAGAAGTACATATTAGTTTATATAAATAATAAAAACAGGATTCCCCCAGGCCTAATTCTGCTGGATGAGTGGGTGTGAGAGTGATGCATACTGATACTCCAAATTAAGGTGAAAGGATGCATGTGGGTGGAAACACCTGGAACATTAGCATATAAACAACTGTGTGTTTGTGTAGGTGTGTGTATGTAATGCTTGAATCATCAGTTACGTAGATTGATACTTTTTTACGGTCCATTTCCGACAACATTGGAAGAGAAAGTTTTGTTCCACACTTGCTTCACATTTTTGTATATAGCCTCAACTTAAGTGGATTTTGAGATGATAGGACCCTGGGTACAGACATTCAAAAGACCCCACAACAAATCCCACATGGGGGCAAGATATAAAAAAACGTAATTCTTGTTAAGCCTCGTTTGTTGTTGTTTTGTAACTTCTTGTGTTTGTTTTGCATCTCTCTAGTTTTGTGTTTCTTTGTTGTCATTAGTGGTCTCTTTGTAATTGTTTTGAGTCTCTTTGTAGTCATTTTTAGTTTCTATGGGGTTGCTTTGTGCCTCTTTGTTGTCGTTGTATCTCTTTTTGCCCAATAGCCGGTTCACTGTTCCATTAATGGTCACTAACTCTAGTCTCATGTCAAATGAAAGTCATTCACTGTACTGGAAGGTATTTAACCTTTCTATTTTAAGACCTTTGCTATTTGGAGTTCTTAAATAAAGCCCTGCCAAGTCTCATCTGGGTCTTTATTGTTCTCAGAGACAGCAACCTTAAAAAAAAGAAAAAAAGGGTCTTGAATTCTCGATCCGCTAGCTTTGCGGCCTATAAATGGTACATTCCGTCCTGGGTAGCTGGGCAGAGAAGGCTTTTTATGGATCACCTTTTAAAGAATCTGAGGAGGCATGTCTGAGACTTAAGTCCAGGTTCTGCAGTTCAGCTCCCACAAGGACATCAACATAGAGAAACTCTGCTTTTCACTGTCAAATAGAAGGGGAAGAAAAACGGTATTTTCTATTTGTTTTAGCTCATACCTATGGAAAAGGGATCCAGGTTGTGTTGACTGTTTTGAAAAGGCATGTTATGTATAGGATGGTGTCAATATGTTTATATTATTGGAAAAAAATGACTGTTTTCATGGGTACATACATTTAATCTCACATATGCCAAAGTATGGCTTACTGTCTTCTATTTTGGACACTTCAGTGGTGTTTTAGGTTTTACACATAAGGGGTGAACAACATTTACTCTGTGTAAATAAAAAACAAAAAAGCATTGGTAAAAACAAACGAAACAACCTGCATGTAATACTTTAAATGACGATTAAATGGAAATCAAGTAAAAATATAAACATATGAACATCATGGTGGCGCTCAGAGAAATGTAAAAGGCACCACAGTCAGTAGGATACATTACATCAGGATCAAGACTGTCTTAACATTTCATGGGAGCCTACAAAAAAGTTGATGTTTCAACTTTTGACCCATTGACCCACATTACCCTCCCCATCCATAAAGGTAGTTTGACATTTTATAAGTACCATTTATAGAACAATGTTTGCATGAATCCTATCAGACTAGTAGGTGTTTATTCTTAACCAGATGTATACCCTTTAGCGGTGACTCATAAGCGCCACAGAGCTGTTTTTAGCCTCATCCAACAGTGCAGGATTGGTCCTAATGTAGCAGTGTTCAAGCTCCTCTTCCTGAAGTGACTCAGGAGTTCGCCGCCTGTTTGGTCCATCAGAGTTGTTTATAACTGTATGTACCACCTACGACTATTCGCACACAAACATGCAGAGTCTAACAGAAGCTTTTCAATAATCAGAGATTCACAAACACTGTGTTTACTGTCGATTATCACAGTTCTAACAAACACTTTAAAATAAAACTGTGTACTTGGTAGGGGTGTTTTGGGGTGTTAACATGATACTGGTGCTCAAATGTGTTGTTTGGCGTTTTGCAGGCGACATATCGTCCTTTTCTGCAGCAGATCCTGGAGGAAGTCTTCCGTCCTGACAGACCTGAATGTCCCGACATCGACTACATGTCCGGAGGCCTCACGGACCTGCTCAAGACCAGCTTCAGCATGTTCATGAAGGTCAGATATTGCTGACTATCACACATACACACACACACACACAGACAGACAGACAGACAGACAGACAGACAGACAGACAGACAGACAGACAGACAGACAGACAGACAGACAGACAGACAGAGACACACACACACACACACACACACACACACACACACACACACACACACACAAAACACATGTGTATGTAATGGGGTCAGTCAGCTCTGTGATATCCTCTTAACCCTCCTTTCGCACAACTACCCTCTGTGGAAATAAAGTGCCCTCTTCCACTGCCTGTATATGACCTGATTTGACATTTGAGTAGGCTTATCATGTCTGCACATGTTCAGTGTTTACCCTTTTCGGCCAATGAACCATCAAAAGCTCTGTTGTACTTTTTATATATGATTTTTGATGTGCCTACTTATAAAGGTCTAACAACTATACAAATGTACATTTTAATCAAACAGATTTGCTTAACAATATCTAAATGCATCGAAGCATTACACCCAGTCACTGTTTGGGCAAAATGTATTCCTCAAATGATATCTGGTATTAAGGAACTGATGCTTCCCAGAAACAGAAACACTGGAAGAGAAACAGATACTGTCAGTGATTGAGCGTCTAAGTAACAAGAAACCCTTTTATTCTTATGATCCTTTTCTTTAAACAATGTTTCATAGAATAGGAATTGTTGGCAGGAGTTTTACACAATCATTATTTATTCATTTATTCTTAGAACTTCTATCTGTTTCCCCACATTTTTAGAGCATCAGTGCGAGATACAAAAGAGCAGAATGTTTGGGTTGCATTCATATTCCTCCAAAAGACGCGTAGTTTTGGGCTTGTGGGTAATGTTGAGCCACCACAGTCTGATTATCCCACATCTGGGCCTGCTTAAACGGATGATAACCCGGGGGGGGGGGGGGGCATTAGACGGGTTGTGTAACCACAGCTTGGTTTTACACAAATTAACAAACTTGGCCCACGAACCACCAACTCAGACGGACTGCGTCTATAAACCTGAGCTTGGAGCGTTCTGCAGGAGCACACCCTTTATGCTGTAAAACAACCCAATAAAACGTCTATTTTTAACCACAGAGCCGCTGCGTATGCTACAGTTTGTATCATTAAACACAGCGAACCCTGCAGCCTGCGTTCTGACTGAGGGAGAGCTTTTGCACAAACTGTGTAAATGAGAGTTTATGTTCGGTGTGTCCTACAGGTGATCTGACTGCTGCAGTTCCTCCATCCAACTAACATCAGCAACCAAATAAGCCCTTAAGGCCCCGGCCCCACGAGGACGCATACGGTAGTTTCCGTTACAGTTTTGTGTCGTATAGACCGTTCGGCCACACTAGGACGACAGACTATGGCAGTAAACGACTACGGTAACGATAACGGGTCCCGAGGTGGATAGAACGGCATACGCAACGCTCTGGGGGGTCCAACGGCTCCGTTATTACGCCCTATACGATCATTTTCTGATAATGATGACGCAATAGCCCCGCCTCTCCCCACCTCTCCTGCTCACCTCCGCGTCATATGTACTGCAGCTTTTCCAGCGGTTGGAGCTAAACGGAGCTGTCTCGTGTGAACAGACACTTTCCGGTGTCTATTGCGTGTGGACGGAAGCCTTTTTTGCGATTGCGTTTGCGTATGCGTTTTACCGTATGCGTCCTCGTGGGGCCGGGGCCTAAGTCACGGCGGTTATTTTGTTATTATGAAGCTCAATTTGCTGTTTGCTTCTTAGGAGTAAGGATCCATGTTGCAGGAGCACTCCAAGTCACAATGACTCTGAAGCCATGTCATTAACACGTGCAACATGAATTGACACTGTGTCACATTGCTTTGTAATCTCACACTTGAAGGCAAGGCACGTTTATTTATATAGCACCTTTCAACACAAGGCAATTCAAAGTGCTTTGCATAAATGAAAGGCATTAAGAGCATTAAGAAACATATTATAAAATGGCATTTAAAACACTCATTTAAAAGCAGAGATATAAAATGGCAGTTAAAAACACTCATTTAAAAGCAAAGATAATAAAACATGAATAACAAAGGTACATGAATAAAGGTTACAGTGCAGTGTGAGATACACACATCTGAAATGTTTAGGTCTGACTCTCCATCATTGCTATTGCTACTTTTTAGCAGAAATAGTTTTCTATGACCTCACTTTCTTTCTACTTTCTTTTTTAACTTATCCGTTAGTTATTTCAAGTGTTTCATGCTAAACCCCCCATAAGAGCAAATTACATATTGTTTGACAATGATTGTGAAGCTTGACATCAGGTCTCGCTGACCTGACAGTATGTGAGCAATGCTGGCAACATGATTCCAAACTTAAAGATCTGTCTGAGGCACCTCATAAGATACATTTGATATCAGCAAGAGCAGTGGTGATGCTGGGTCCTGATTCCAAAGTGGAATTTTAAATGTAGGGAGGTTGTGGAGCAGTGCTTTTATTTTAAAGTACTTTTTCCCTCCTCGTAGTGAGTATCCAATTGAGAGGTGACGATCAGAATTAACTGCCAGGACAAATTATTCTGCATTTATCACAGTTTTGAATCGGCTCCAGATCCAATAGGCAATGATGCAAACATGCACGTGGACCTGTTCTTTCATGTGTGGTGAACATATAATAAATCAAATCAACAGGGATAAGGATGATTATAATACTTTTTTAACACCCAAAACATACAATTAATATGCCCTTCTTAAAGCCAATAGACTGATCTCTAATCACACAAAAAAAATGTTTTAAACTCAGCACAAATAAAATAAAAGTCATCAAAACTATCTTTTTTAATCGGTCCCCTGAAACATTCATCACCTCTTATTTGAAAGGGAGACTTAATTAGGAATACATATTCAAAATCAACAACCACCGTAACATTGCTGACTCTGTTTCCTGTGTCAGCTGTCATGAACACGAGGACAAAATTCAAAGAAAGGCGTCCCCGTCTACCCATAAGGGGAAAGCAATCTTTCCCTGATTTTTAAAGGGTTTTCCATTTTTTTTTTAAAAGCTGCAAACACATGCTTGTTTTGGTAAGAATAGGGAATAAGCCAAAAGCCACTCATGGCCAGAACCTTGTTTTTGTTTAAGTATAACATTTATGAACATTACATTCATTAACATCAATGAGCTGTTGATGTATGTTATCATCAGGACATACAACAGAATATTTTCTTCTCCTCACGTTCACCAACTGTCACATGTTATCTCTGCACACTTCCATCAACCTGTCCCTCCCATGGCAGAACACATGTTTCACAGCATTTGTGTATCCAGCAAATCGGTGATTAACCCGCACATGTAGTTGAAGTGTCTGTGTCACTGAATCCGTGTTTTCAAATTCTGAATACCACTCGAGCAGAAAACCCAAGGAGGCATCACATTATTTGGCTTCACATGTCACACATGAATCATCCCTGACATGCTTCACGCCAGCCCGCTGGGGCCACACGTGTACAGCCACTCTCTCCCCGGCTCCGCCCCCCCGCGGCTCTGATTGCTCGGTTAGCCTCCGCACGCTGCATGTGTGCCCTGACTGCTGCTCGACAACCAATAGAACGCTCAGCCATTATTTCCCCATCAGCCAATCACGCTCAGCAGAAAAACACACTGACTGTACTCACTATAAAAACCCATCTTAATGACAGTCATTCATGTTCTTTGATGCACAAGCGAATTATCAGTGAGTGAGTGAGTGCTATACTGGAAAGGGGCTTCATGATAACGCTTCTATCTGCAAGCGTTGTATGAAAGTGTGTTTAAACACCTACTTACAAATCCACGTACCTGCCATTAAAACACTTGGCCAGTAGACCTTATCCATTGAGCTTTAAGCCCAATCATCACTATCACTACAATATCACATTGTTACTCACAGACTATTCTTTAGTAAGAAACTGTATCTCCAATGGATTAGGAATGCACTGACCAATCACAATGTCCCGTTTCACAGGTGAGTCGCCCACATCCTGGCGACAACCCCCTGCTCTTCCTCTTCCTGGTTGGTGGCGTCACTCCGGCAGAGCTACGTCTCATCAAAGAGAGCGTTTCCACTCACAAACCAGGAACCCAGGTGAGTAGAGGCTAGATGAATAATATGTAACTCTCTGCATCATCATCATCGCTGTGTTTTCTACCTTTCCTGCTGTTTAAAGGTTTGAATTATGTTTATTTCTGTGTCTGTTTTCTTCAGCTTTTGTATATTTTCCTTAAGCAAATAACCAAAAACCCTGAAAATCTAAAGGTTTATTTTCTCAAACTGTCCCTGTACCAAGGCTGGTGAAGTATTTCCGATCTCTTTAGGAGAAAGAAACTCAGGAAAAGTTTTACTGGATCGGTTTAAGACTTAATTGTTGAGGTCCCTTTGAAAGAAGTTCTTGATGCAGCTTTATAGACTAAACCATGTGTATTTTGATATTGCTTGGACCTGAACATACTGTTTAAACGTTGCTTTCCAAGCATTGTTGCAGTGGTGGACTGTAACTAAGTACATTTCTTCCAGTATTTCATTACATTGTTAAAGGTGGGGTTGGTAAGTTTGAGAAACCGGCTCGAGATCGCTAGAATTTGAAAATACACAACCGGAGAAAATCTGCCACTTCCTTATAGAGCCCCTCCTCCAACACACACGAACGTGCACATGACCAATGAGGGCACGAGATAAGTTTGTGCACAGATGGAAGGCTGACAGGCAGGTAGGCCATCCAGTTATTTTAGCCGGGCTGGTCGTGCTTTTTACAGTACTACGGCTTCCACAGATGACATTTTTTTATGGATTCTTTGTCAAAGCACTTAAGATATTCATTGCTATCGGGATGTTAAGAGCATTCCATGGAATATAACAAAAAGTGTATCTCGAGCCGGTTTCTCAAACTTACCTACGCCACCTTTAAGGTATGTCTGTGTTATGATACTTCAACTTCTCTATTTCAGAAGAAAATATAATATTTGTCACTTCACTGCTTTTGTTTAATGTACAGTAAGTACATTTTGTATACAACCGTTATTCTTCCATACTTGTTTTACTTTTATGCTTCTTTATTTGTACTTATTCGAGATAGTTTACTTGCAATTTTTTTGACTTGATGTTAAAGATCTGAATATTTGTTCTGCCATGGTCAAGAGAAACTGAAGCACTGGATTGATAGAAATGAATGAGTTGTTGAGTGGATGGTTATATGTAAGGCTGCCCATTATCAGAACCCTGAATGCCAAACTTTGAAAATGTACCAATGAATGAAGTAAAAGTGAAACCCAAAGTGAAAAGTATTTCGTAAGCATCTATAACCACCCAATAGACATTGATATTTATCAAAAGAAAGAAATGATGTGTGGATGATTCACTTTATAAACCTGTGATATTCTATCACAATAGGTCTTTTAGAGTGTTTTCCCGATAAAAATAAAAAGCTGCATATACGTGCTTGTTTTGGTAAGAATAGGGAATAAGCCAAAAGCCACTCATAGCCAGAACCTTGTTCATGTTTAAGAATGAACATTCCTTAACATCAATGAGCTGTTGATGTATGTTATCATCAGGATATACAGTAGAATATGTTCTTCTCCTCACTTTCACTAAGTGGCACATCTTATCTCTGCACACTTCCATCAACCTGTCCCTGTCCCTCCCAATGCAGAACACATGCTTCAGAGCCTTTGTGTGTCCTTTGAAAATGTACTTTTAATCTAACGAATGAAGTCAAAGTGAAACCCAAACTTAAAAGTCTTTCATTCATACATTCATGTGAGCATCTATAACTATAACCATCCAATAGTCTTTGATATGCATGTGTCAATTAAATAAACATTGCAGATAGAGATGGTGTGTGGATGATTCACTTTATAAACCTTTGATATTCTATCACAATAGGTCTTTAAGGGGTAACATGTGCTAAAGACTCATTCAAATGCTAACTAAAATCATTCATGTTGCTTTAGAAATATCAAAAAAAGTACAAAATCTGTCAGGAATATTGAAATGGTGCATCCTGAAGTGAACTGACATTACATGTAATTGGGTCGTCTCTTCAGTCATAATGAGAGGTACACTGTGGCCATCAGAGGGCAGGTTACAGACAGGAGAATATGTGACATTGAGCCAACATCCCCACTGACCTACATACACCGGTGGCAGTAACACGCCTCACATCCATGAGCTGGTCTGTCTGTGTGCTCATGACGCTGTAGTGCTGATTACATATGCAGTCCACACAACATGCAAAACATCCAGATGAACGTGTTTTCCCTGTGAGAGGGGATGGGGGGGGGGAGGAGAGGTGAGGAGAGGAGGGAGACCAGGCTGGGTTATGTGGGTTTGTCTTAATAAAAGGCTTTGAGAAGGAGGTCAGAGGAAATGAAAGGCCTGGCGACGATCAAAGCCTTCCATCTGTAATCAGGAAAACTGAATAAAGACGAGCTTATACTAAAACGGCTGGGCCACACACATGCTCACCTCAGAACACACTGACCTGAGCACATGCATGCCCTGCATACTGTACGCTAGCGAGTGTGTGTACATGATGGCGGATGTCTGTGGGCCAGACGCTGGTGAATAGTTACAGTGAACTGCAAAGTTTCCGTCTTGCACTTGGACTAAATTCCTCCGAAACATACTTACCCTGCCACTACAAACAGGCCCATTGCCATTTTAGGTGCTGACCCAGAGTTAAAGCAACACTGCTGCAGGAGAAACAGAGCTCCTCTGTTATAGAGCATACTGTAAGAGGACTGGGGATCTTATTCTAAAGGAGAAAGTACTTGGAGAGAGCTTCGCTGAAGTCACTCAAAGTATAGATAACACACTTTTCTCTTGGTATGAGGGTTGGAGGAAGGAGGGATTCTTTTTGTATCTAGGTTTTTGTAATTTTTCCACACCAAATTGTAATTGTCAGTGTTGCAAGACTATTCACCTTTTGTATTCAAAATAAGTTTAAAATGGATTACCTACCTCAAATGTTGCTTTCTTAAGTGTCAAATCCATGTACACGTAACAGTTTAATATAAAACGTGTATACCAGTGGCTTCTTTCTTTATATATGTATCTAAAAACCTTTATTTCATAAATGTGATACATTGTCTGCTTGTGTCATGTCTGAAAGAGTCACTTTGACATGTTATCAGGACCAAAGACATCCTGTAAAGGGATAATCCTGGAGCTATATAATAAATCAATCAAATGATGAAAATAAAACCAGATGAGGGCACCTGATTCATGCTCATGCTGATTGCCAACGTGCACATTACTCACCGTAACATTCAGGTCATCTATGAGCCTTGTGTCACAGTGACCCGCTTTCACCTCCTGACGGTGTTGTGCTCTCTACAGGTGCTGGTTTTGTCTACCAGATTGCTGAGGCCGACGGATATCCCCGAGCTGCTCTTCACCACCCAAAGACTGCTGCCTGACATCGGTGTTTAAGGGGCAGTCACGTGGAAACACACCATGCACACGCACGTGGAAGAGCACATGATGCGACCTCTCGACACCTCCTCGGGTGTGATTTGAGTGTCAGTAAATGAGAATCACTGTCAAAGCTGCAAGGGAAACGATTCGGCAACATTCCTTCCCTGCTCATGTCTATGTGTGTATTCTAAAGTGAAATCTAAAGCTATGATATTAAAGTACCTATTGGGTTTTATTTTTCTTGCAGACATAATTAAAAATGTAAATATCCGAGTGTGTATTCCAAACAGAAACTCTCCATCCAAAGCCGCTTTAAAGTGTTTTTCAGCAAGAGGTGTGAAATGACATCAAATGTTAATATGAAACAATAAAACCAGTGACTTGTCAAACACGGTCGTGTGATGATGCCTTTCATTTGCTCAGTTGTTAGGCATTTTGACCAGGCTGTGTTGAAAGTAGACTGTATGTGTAAACTCAAAGAAGGCCTGCTGTTGTGATGGAGAATACACACAATCTGTTAGGGTCCATTCACACCTCAACACTTCATACAGTGACACATAAGAGCAGAATAATTAACAAGACGTTTCACAGCGTCTGCGTTTGGCCCATAATTTGCTCACACTTAGAGCTCGTCTTCACACTCCTGCATCCCCCTCCTCCCTCTCCATTCTCCCTTTATTCTCTTCCACATTAATCACCTCAGCTATTATTTAGTAAGTTTACCCACCTAGACACCTGCATTGACAACCAGAGTGTACCGCATGTCCAAAAGAGGAATAAATCCTGTGTGTTCAGGCTTTGATGACAGATCAGACTGGGATACATTCATGATTGCCTAATTAGATTATGGACTGCAAATAAACAGATCTCTAACATAATGAAACACACATTCAAGTTAATTGGAAAAGGGATTGATTTATTTTCTTTATCCTCAGTAGAGCCTGAACATGAACTCTTCCACTGCTGTTGGTTCCGGCTTTTCTTTAGATTTCTTTGTCATCTTGATTTCCAGTGGCTGATGACAGCACCAGGGTTTTATCTGTAGGCAGATCTAAGGACCTGAGAAGCGGCAGTCCAGTCATGCTCCTCATTAATGCTGGTATCTAAGCATTTGATAAGAATGGGGTTGTCCATTGGTCAGACTTCCCTCGCCTGTATTAGTCATCCCCATCACATCATCAATGACGTTCCTCATTGTGTCTTAAAGCCAAGGACATGCTATTGTTAGATTGTTAGCTTTTATTTGATGATTCAAAAAAACATAACACCGCACTGCAGTCATTGCATTTGTTAAAGATCAGAGGATGAAAACACTATAAAGCCAGAAGGATTTTTGTCCATTGTGGTCCTCTAGTACACCTCATGATAATCAACACACCTAAGTGCAGACGCTACAATCTACATATTCACATGAGGGGGCATGGTAGCTACGTCAACATGCTCTTATTATGTTAGTTATAAAGACTTAAACATATAAATTGAATATATTGTTGCTTTGTTACCATTCCTTTATGATCAGTTTGAAATTATCTGTGAAATACAGTTTCAGATTTGTGGGCAGAATATGACTGCTTTACACTGTAGAGAAACGTGTTCTTTCTCATTAGACCACAGATTGGAAAGGAAATATTTAATCTTTCTCTTATAAAACAGCTATGATTTTTTTTAAGTAGTGAAAATGATTGATAATGCACTATGATACCATATTGGTAAACCATCTTAAATGAGTGATTTGAAATGTATTGTCTGCTTACGTCATTGTTTCGGTTGTCGAATACACATATTAAAACTGATAAATGAAAAACCAGAGACATAGAATTCAATTTCATCATTTTATTGTGAACAAAAAGTCATGTTTGGAACATATAAATAACAATAAGCCCTTTGGATCATTTCTTTTTATAAAGTGCATCAGTATAATAACGGCCACACGCTACATATTGTGTCTGCTGCCCCGCTACAACCCCCCACCCCCCACCCTCTTCTCCCATCATTCTGCACAGTGATGCTTCTGAACACTGCAAACATATACTGCAGGTATTTTCATGCAAGACACTTAGTACACACACACATGGCTACACAGAGCCCTGGCTCAAGTGGCTGGTATAATAAAACCCAGCATTTAGTGGTGCCAAGTAGTGGCAGTCTGAATAAAGAAAAGCCACAATGGGCAACACAGCTAAAAATAAGCCGTCCTTCAGCTCTGCTGTTGCCAGGAGAGCTTAGTTTTCTTTCTTTTTTTATGTGCAGAGAGTCTTGGGCTCAGTCAGCCTCACAGCTGCTTCTGTGTTCATAAATGTAGTTTCTGCTCCTGAACAGATGATGAACCTCCTCACACATGCGTTCGGACAGAGCGATCACCTGCCACTCAGAGGTCATTACCAAGAATCATCTCGCTACGTAGAGCTGTGTCACATCTGCCTTCAATCGGCCAGACTCAGGACTTCAGTTGAGAAGCGTACATCTTCTGCCTGCTTATCTCAGCTTTCCTCAATGCTTTCTTTCTCTGGCCACCCGGGACCATGTTCATTTCTTAGTGCTCCTCACACTGAGGTGACAGTCCGGACTTTGGCTGACAGGGCTTGCTTGAAGCGCCTCTTCAGGTCTTGCATGTTGGGGGACTTTGGCCTTGGGATGAGGGGGGAGCGCCTCTTCTCTGTGGCGGCGCTGGTGGAGTTGGAGGCAGGAGCCGGCTGCTTGGCTAGCTGGCAGCAAAGCCTGTGGAAAGCCTTGTGCACCTGGCTATAGTCCTCACTGGCAGACACTTCATAGAAAGAGCAGCCCAGAGTTTCAGCCAGCATAGGGCCCTGCTGGGCGTCGACCTGCCTCAGGTGCAGCAGGTCGGCCTTATTGGCCAGCAGGATCACCGGGGGCATGTTGGCGCCTCCGGTACGAACCACCTGCTGGTGCAACTGCTCGATCAGATCGAAGCTACGTCGGTCGGTCACAGAGTACACCAGAACCACGGCATCAGCCCACTTGATGGAGCAGGTCACATGATCTGGTAAGTTAATGCCATTATCTGTCATCTGGAGAGGAAAGAAAAAAGGAGACTGATTAATACTCAACCCAGAACACTTACTTAGAAAAACATTTTAGGCATCGTCTATTGAACTAAAATGAAGATTTAATGTTCCCTGACTTTTTTTGCAATTAATCTTGAGAAATGAAAGGAATGCTGACTGAGGCAGACAGGAGCTATAGTGTTACTGCTGCAGAACAGAGAGGTGTGGATGATGGAGGAGTCTGGATCGGGATCAGGGTATCATTTACCCTGGCCTCAGACATCTATTACGCTAAATGGGAGATTAGACAGCCAGACTGAAGGGCTCTACTCCGGGAGAAAATATACATACACACAGATCTTTGGTTTTTGGACTGGTGCCCAGTCACGAAAGGCTTAGATGATCTTAACAGCCAGACAGTGAATTCGATTATATTATCTTTCTATTGGATTAACCTCCACAGATTTTCATATGTTGAACTATGCGGGCTCAGTTACTTTGCAGTCAGCCCAGGGAAAATAAACTGTCTGGTTTCTGTCTGGGAGAAGATAGCTAGAAGGGAAAAAAATGAGAATAGAAAAGGATCTTACCTCAACGCCAGGAGTGTCTTGAACCTGGATGGTCACTTGCTCTGCATCGACTTGGACTTCTCTGGAGTAGAGATTACCTGCGCACACAAAAGAAAACAAAAATACTTAGCACAAATTTCTCACTTTAAAAAAAAAGAAGGACATTTATAGCCAAACGTCATCATTTAAAACGTGTTATTCTCAGTTACTCACCAGCATTTCTCTCATAGTCTCCGATGAAGCGCCTCGTTAGGAATCTCACCACGAGTGCTAAAATAAAGAAAAATACAATATTAGACAAATAAACGACTAGAGCACAACATAAATCACTTTAAGATTGAACTGTAAGTAAAGTACAACGTAGTCGTTTCTTTTTTATCCTTTTTCTTACCTGTTTTTCCAACTCCGCTGCCTCCTATCACAGCCATTTTAATGACCCGGTTGGGGACCGAGCTCTCAACTGGTGAATACTCCGCAATGGAGCTCATGTTGTGGATAAGACGCATATTTGATCCGTTAGTCAATTCCGTCCAAGTAATAAAAAATGGAGACAAAACTGGCTCTTGGTTAAAAGGATGAAGTTAATCCTGCATCGGGTTCGGTAGATGGAAGAAGAGTCAACACTAGTGCGTACTGTGAGAAGGAAGAAGCGCACTGAGTGAATGATGTGCTTCTGAGAGGGGCTCGATGCTTTATAGTGCTGAGGAGGAGGTCACATCTGATTGGGTGATAGTCAACCCCCACCTCTCTTCCCCCTCCCTCGTGCGCCTCCACCTTCACGTGTATGTGCATGCTATACACAAGCGAGAAATGCTGCAACAGGTGGGCTCTATCTGGGTGTCCTTATAAATCACCATATAATATGGATAGGGAAAGGGAGGGGAATGTGTTTTGTTCCCACTTGAATCAAATTAGCTGCTGTCGTATAATCAGTCACATAAATAATCTATATGTTGTAAGGAAAAAAAGATATAATCAAATAATTCCCATTAGTAAACTACAAATTCACTACATTATTTGAGCATTGGTCAAAATAAAACCAGGTATATTACCAGTAAAAAAAAATGTATTATCATTATTGTTTTCATCTTCTTTTTATGTTTTTTGATTTTCACTAATAGGCTACTTTACACTTTTAATTTCACAAATTCAAATCCCTTGTATGTGAAAACGTACTTGGAATTGAATGTATTTTAAAAATGTTCTGCATGTTTTCTTTTTTTCTTTCTTTATTTGGGGTCACATTATATTAAAAGTACAGTTTTGCAAATCATATATTTTTAGAGACACGAAAATGACAAATTAAATACCGAACAAAATTAGTAAAATAAAATAAAAACGAAAAAATACATTCTGCATGTTTTCAACCATAACATCACAGTTTTGTGAGGAAATTGGGGATGGGGATGGATCCTGTTCACCCTCCAGGGTTGGGCTGCAGACAGTAACCTGTTCAGACATGCCCCTAAACTTGTGAGTCATCCACACAGGGGGTTAATGGCTGCTGATGTTGCACAAACAGAACCCCTCAGCACACTTGCGCATATACTTAAAGAACTCCTGCTAGCATCCATACTGTGAATTAAAAAGCTACGGCCCTGCTCATCCAGAAATGACACAATATGTCAGCCAGAAAGGCAACATACATCTATATTTAGGAGAGTAATGTAACATAGTTTAACATTGTTTAGTATTTTGTCCAGCAGCTGCTCTCTGCTCTGATTTGACCTGTATCATCTCTTTGTCCCACTTTTTTCTATCTGCTCTGTCACGCCCCCCACATGCCTCCCTCTCTCCCTCTCTCCCTCTCTCCCTCTCTCCCTCTCTCCCTCTCCCATCTTTCAATTCTGCTCATGTGCTCTGAGGTATTTTGGCCTCCAGTTGCAGTGATTATGGTCTGGTATGTATTTTTGATAAGAGCGCTGATGACAGGCGACCGTGCTGAAATACAAAATGAGTGCAGAGGATTCGTGAGCAGACATGGTTTCGTGGTGTGTACACATGCACACACAGAACTATCCCTCTAACCACATCACAGTGAACTCCACCCAGCAGCATTATGGGAAGGGCGAGCCTGTTCTCATGCTAATAGTCAGAAAATGCTGTACATACCTGAACTTGTTGACATATAAACTGGATTCTATCAGAGTTTCTGTGTCCAAATAAAGCTGAACTCCTGCTTTTTCAAATGAATGATGTGAGTTAGTTCACAAGTTTGAAATCTAAGCCCACGCTGTATTTTTTTAACAGAAAGATCAAATACATCAAGGTTGTTCCCTCCTCTAGCAACCAGGCGAGAAGGCTAATGATGACAGATAATAGAGGAGGCTGTGGAGGTGTTTCTTCGCTGATATCCTACCCTCCGGGATTCACTCAGAAACACTATATGACTCACACACACCAGAAGCAGCAGTGACGACAAACTGACTTTAAATGTATTATGAAAGGATGCCACATCACTTCTTGTATTTCTAAAAAACAATGTGTAGTTGGTGGTGATACATGTCACACTGCAGTACAGTAACTCTACTCCACTGTCTGTGTATATGTGCCTTCAGGCCGGTGTTGCCTTCACTTTCCCTCAGGGAGGACTGGAGGTAAATTAAAATACCTTTGAGTCAAGGCGGACAATTATAGCCACAACAGAGCAGAACAAGGCCTGAGTTGGGGATCAGATTGTCACTCACACACAAGTGACAATAGGTGGTTAGGGAGGGTAAAACGGGGGTAATCCTTTAGCGGGCTGTTGACAATTATCAGGGAGAATTCGGGGTATTCACTGCAAACAGAGGAATGTTGCATTAATTGGGGGGTTGGCGGAGTGGTTGAAGGCAGGTGAAATCAGGAGGAGGAGGTGTTCTCAGAAGGATGTCCTTGTTGACAAAGAAGTGAGGAATGATTTCCCGAGGTGGGCTCACCTTTTACAGTGAGAAGAGGCATACAACCGTCACTTGCCCCCAGGCCTGATCCCTCAAAGGAGGGTCATTAAGGATATCAGAGAAACTGGGGCACTTTGGGGCTGCCTTGGGGGGAAACCTCATGAATGATACACATCTATCATGATAAACATTTGACCGTCGTCAAATGTTTATCATGATAGATGTGTATCATTCTTATTGCCTTTCATCATTGTCAGTGATTATTAGGAGACACTTTTATTTTGCCCCTGGTCTTAGATTTTGTTATCTTACTTTAAAGTTGTGTAAATGCTTCAAAAAAATGTTTCAGGATCTTCTGACAGACAAGAAGATGAGACTGATTAAATGTTACATAAGAGTATAATGTGTTATTTATAATTTAAGAAATAATTCAATGCAATGGAGAGTTAACTTTCTGTTTTCTTGCAGGACCTAACTACATATGCATGAAAACAAGGGTCTGTCAGATAAATTCACACATCTTGTCATGGATCTCTTTAGTTATGTGCTTATATACATGTCTATTTACATTTACAATGAGCAATGGAAATTGTATTGGCTCGCCACAAGCACAAAACACAATGCAAGAGAGGTTGTTTTTTTCTTATTGAAATGTGAACTTTGCAACATGTTCAAGCATTTGCATATCACTGAATGTCAACAGCATGGTAAGGGGGAAGGCAATGGTGGTTTTAGGGGGTTGTGTGTGCTGTGGCACTGCCTCTGAATGACAATAGCCCCCCCCCCCCCCTTACTCACACCTCCTCCTCCCACTAGAGGAATGCCAGCTCAATGTTTTTACATTGCCTTTACATTGAAGTCAAAGCAAGCTTCTTAAAAAACACGATGGAAAATATTTAAATCTCATTGCTCCATCTCTCATTCATATACCCCTGTTTACATTCCTCAGCTGATCTCTCTCATATGATTTTTTTTCCACTCTCATTTCTGAGGATTGACGAGCATGTGTCAGTCTCCAAACTCGTTACAGGTTTGGCTGTTGCATATATGTGCATGACAGACAAAGAGACGAACTATAGGTCTTGCAGTAATAACAGAGGGTAATGTTGTTTTCGTCTGGTGTGCATGTGACCATTGATATTTAAAGTAAGATGTTAAACACTGGGATTATCCTGTTTACCCTGATTGAGAAGTTGTTTTTTTCCTTCTCACGTGTTAAAGCTGTGAGTGAAGAAAGGTAAATGTGCACTAAATCTTTATATAGTGGTTTGATTAACCATGTTAAATGGAAGATTAAGTGGATGTTTTGATATGACAGAGAAAGGAGATAATGTATTTACTATGTTGAATTGAGAAAACATCTCCTGTTTTGTTCTGGTGAGTTGGCATTGTCGGATGAAAAAGGAGGGAGAATATTTAAAATCTGAATTACCAATGCTATTTCTGTAAAACAAAATATATTTACAGATATTATTATTTTCTATTATAGTGCTTGTGTGTGATGTCTTTATTTTAATGTTTAAAAAAAATGCTTAGTTGTCACCTTTATAGTTCTAATAAAAAAACCTGCGATAACTTTTTTTAATCTGATAAAGAGAAAACATGACCAGAGGTGTAGGAAAAAACAGACAGCGGCCTTCTCAATGAATGAAGACTTTTGTTACATCCTCTGCCCCTCTTCCATGTGTATACAGTAAATAACGGTATCATCAAAACACATTTAGGCGAAAAAGCAATGAGCCCAAGATTGACCCATGCGGTGCACCCATTAGACACGAAATAAGAGATGCAAGACCACAGTATTGGGCCAGAAGCCAAACAATTAGTTTATACTTTTTAAATGAATGTTGAATGAATTTCCAGATACTTTTAAAGAATAACCATTTCAGCTTTAGCCTTATTTCTTTGTGAATCAGTGACATTGATAGCCATGAACACGCACACACACACACACATTTATTTCAATTTTATAAAAACAAGTTGTGGTAAAGCAAAAGGACACTATCAAGCTGTTCTTTTTTGCTTGCCATGTAATTAATGAGATTTGATCATCATAGACAGAGGCTCACAGACGGGCGGTGACACTGGACAGATCGTATTTGGACCAAGGGGGTTCAGGTTTATGGTTTTTGGCCTCTGTTTGTAATTCTGACTGTCCCCCTGGGCCCTGTTTGTCCGTCTAGCCTGCTTTACTGCACAGACTGAACGGAGCTGGAGCTCATGCTGGAGGCCGATCAAGGTTCAGAGCACGGCCTCTGTGGAGGTTTAATGTAGACGGACAGCTTCCTCCAGGGCTGAATTTGGGCCAGGGCTGGAGCTCTGATCTGTGGATGTGGTCACTGAGTGCAGAAATGAAACCACTGCCAAGCCCTGCTCAGCACATACTTTTAATTATACAAACAGTATGAGAAACTGCCTGCACTCTATATTACTGTTTGTACTGCTTGATAATGCATTAGGTTTGAAGTGGGGTTATTAGTTTTTGACTTCAACAGTGGGGAAATAAATGTGAGATGTGTTTTCTTCATCCTCTTCACATCCTCAGCAGGACACGGCGCCTGCCCAGCTCACAGGTTAAGAGCTTACTGATGAATAGGGATAAAGATGCAGCTGTGCACGTGTAGTACTTGTACTGTAGAATAGGTTACATTAAACAAAGAAAAGAGAGGAACAGAATGTGCATGTAAACCATCTCAGAAAAAGTTAATTCTGATGTTGTCTCAGTCAGACCTTTCTGAGACATCTATCATCGTCCTTACCCTTCCATCGTGGT